ATTGCTATTGCTTTCTTCATGTCAAATGCATATTCCTTCGACTATGCGATTCTGCAACTCCCGGATACCGGAGGAATGCCTTGTGTGCTATCGAACATCACAACGCAACTGGGTGATCATAAAGATGCTCTACAGGTATCTCCGAAGGTGTTTGTTGGGTTGGCATAGATAGAGATTAGGATTTGTCACTTCGAGTATCGGAGAGGTATCTCTGGGCCCTCTCGGTAATACACATCATAAGATTGCAAGCAAATGACTAAGGAGTTGGTCACTAGGTGATGTATTAGGGAACGAGTAAAGAGACTTGCTGGTAACGAGATTGAACTAGGTATGAAGATACCGACGATCGAATCTCAGGCAAGTAACATACCGATGGATAAAGGGAATTACGTATGTTGTCATAACAGTTCGGCCGATAAAGATCTTTGTAGAATATCTAGGAGCCAATATGGGCATCTAGGTTCCGCTATTGGTTATTGACTAGAGAGGTGTCTCGGTCATGTCTACATTCTCGAACCCGTAGGGTTCGCACGCTTAACATTCGTTGACGATATAGTGTTATGTGATTTTGGTGACCAAATGTTGTTCGGGGTCCTGAATGAGATCACGGACATGACGAGGAGTCTCGAAATGGTCGAGAGGTAAAGATTGACATATAGGACGATGGTATTCGAACACCGGAAGTGTTCCGGAGGGTATCTGGTACTTATCGGGTCACCGGAAGGGGTTTCGGGCACCCCCGACAAAAGATATGGGCCTTATGGGCCAAGAGGGGAAAGGCACTAGCTACAAGGGGCTGGTGCGCCCCCCATATGGGCCGGCCTAGGAGGAGAAGGAAAGAGGGGAAGGGAAAGGAAATAGTGGAAAAGGATTCCCCCTTCCTTCCCTCTCCTCCCTCTTTCGTTTCCCCTCCGACAAATATGGAAAGGGGGCGCGGCCAAGGGCAGGAGCCCAAGTAGGATTCGAACCTACTTGGGGCGCCCCTTTGCCTCTCCCCTCTCCCTCCCACCTATATATATGAAGAGGGGAGGCGCCTATCACACCTTAGACAATGGCCTAGCTGTGTGCGATGCCCCCACCACCGTTTCACCCCCGATCATATTTTCGTAGTGCTTAGGCGAAGCCCTGCGGAGATCACTTCACTATCACCGTCACCATGCCGTCGTGCTGACGAAACTCATCTACTACCTCGACGTCTTGCGGGATCAAGAAGGTGAGGGACGTCACCGAGCTGAACGTGTGCAGAACTTGGAGGTGCCGTGCGTTCGGTATTGATCGGTTGAAGCACGAAGAAGTTTGACTACATCAACCGCGTTGTGAAACGCTTCTGCTTAAGGTCTATGAGGGTACATAGACACACTCTCTCCCTCGTTGCTATGCATCTTCTTGGATAGATCATTGCGTGTGCATAGAAATATTTTTTGTTTTCCATGCAACGCTTCCCAACATTAAGTGCCTTCATGTACCCACTAATAGAGTCTACATCTCCTGTGATGTCATCTTTGATGAGAACTCCTTTACATTTTCTAATCTTTCGACAACATTCGACATACCATAGTCCTTGCGTCCAACAAAATTTTCCTCTGACCAATTCGAAGATGTTGCCTACTCGCTTGTTTTGTTGTTTAATCATGGTGCAGGTACTGGTCGCGGTGCTCGACTCAAGCTGCTGGATGATACACACTCTCCATGCAATCCTACGGATGATATGCATGCAAATACACGTAGTCCCATCCATGCATATGGGACAAACGTGCTACCTCCATTGCATGCAGCCCCCGCCTGGGACGACTCAGCGTGGTGCGACCCTGCCTGGGCCACCTAGTGCGCCCCCGCATGGGTCACCAGACATGCCCACAACGCGATTCCTTAGGACACCCACGACGGTCATGGTCGGGTCGCCCCCGCCCTGGCCGCCTGGACTGCCCAGCACCCCTACGCTTGGGCTGCCTAGTACACCTCCGTCTGGGCCGCGAGGCATGCCCACGACGCATGTGGTCAGGTCGTCCACGACATATGCGGTTGGGTCACCAGTTGAGCCGCCCTCACCAGGGCCTCCGTCTGCTCATATGCCTGCGTCATCACCATCTCCTATACGCGCGCTACCACCACCACCTGTTCCAGCTCTTGTGGTTCTGAGACGACCTCACACTCGCAGTTGCAGTGGTATTGTATGTCCCAAAGAGCGTACAGATGGCACGGTTGCCTGGCTTGCAGCATGCATGGCTCATGTAGTCTCTGGTCCAATGTCTGAACCCTGTCATTATCAAGCTGCTATGAGTATTTCACACTGGCGGACTGCTATGGAACATGAGTATCATGCTCTTCTTCATAATAAAACATGGCGTCTGGTTCCTCCTCCTCCTGGTGTTAATATTATTGACTCCAAATGGATGTTTAAAGTGAAGAAGCATTCTGATGGCTCCATTGAGCGCTACAAGGCCCGCCTAATTGCTAAAGGTTTCAAACAACGTCACGGTCTTGACTATGAGGATACTTTTAGTGCAGTTTTTAAGCCCACTACCATTCGCCTCTTGTTATCTCTGGCAGTTACTCGTGGCTGGTATCTCTGACAGTTGGATGTCGAGAATGCTTTTCTTCATGGTGTGTTAGAGGAGGAAGTTTACATGAGGCAGCCACCAAGTTTTGTTGATCCTGATCATCCTCATCACCTTTGTCGCTTGGACAAAGCACTCTATGGTCTGAAGCAGGCTCCCCGTGCTTGGCATACTCGTCTTGCGACTGCTCTACATGCTCATGGTGTTGTTCCATCTAAGGCCGATACATCACTGTTTCTTTTCCAGCGGTCTGATGTCACCATATATCTTCTGGTTTATGTTGATGACATCATTCTTGTCAGTTCCTCAATGCCTACTGCTGATCGTCTTCTATTAGCTCTTCGTTCTGATTTTGCTATTAAGGACCTTGACAAGCTTCATTATTTTTTGGGTTTGGAGGTTGCTCACACTTCTGATGGATTGTATCTCACTCAAAAGAAGTATTCCTTGGATCTCTTGCGTCGTGCTGGTATGCTCAAGTGAAACCCCTCCTCCACAGCCATGTCTGTTACTGACAAGATTTCTGTTGTTGATGGTGATCTTCTATCTCCAGATGATGCTACCGAGTACCGTAGTCTTGTTGGTGGCCTGCAGTACCTCACTATCACCAGACCAGATATTGCCTCTATGGTCAATCATGTTTGCTAGTATCTACATGCACCTCGCGATTCACATCGCTTAGCGGTCAAGCGCATTCTTCGTTATGTTCGCCTGATAGCCTCTTATGGATTACATCTTCGGCCTGCTCCCTCTTGCATTCTTTCCACTTTTTCAGATGCAGATTGGGCAGGTAATCCCGATGATCGGCGATCCACGGGGGGATATGCGGTTTCTTTAGGCCCTAACTTGATCGGCTGGAGTGTTCTCAAGCAAGCCACGGTGTCTCGCAGCAGTACAGAGGCTGAGTATAAGGCTGTAGCTAATGCAACCGCAAAACTTATTTGGGTACAGTCTTTGCTTCGTGAGTTGCGAGTACCTCAGAGACAACCACCGGTTCTTTGGTGTGATCTACATACCTTTCTTCCAATCTGGTATTTCATGCACGAATGAAACACATCGAAGTTGATTACCACTTTGTCAGAGAACGTGTTGCACAGAAGCTACTTCAGATCAAGTTCATCTTCTCTAAAGATCAACTTGCGGACATCTTCACCAAGCCATTGCCATTACCTTTGTTTGAGGATTGTCGGCACAATCTCAACCCGCGGAGCACGGTTAAGATTGAGGGAGGGTGTTAGAGTTGTAGTTTTATACGTCTTGTGTATACCTTGTTATTATACATGGGACTCTCTTATATATACATGCAAATACCTTGTTATTGTACAGGGCTGAGCTACTTTTTCCTAAATCTCGTAAGGCTAACATGAACTGGTGCATGAGGAGGAAGATGTGACGGAGGACGATGTTGTTAGTTTCGGCCATGGTGTGGAGACATTTGACAAAGAAGCCTGGAAGAACAAAAGGATGGAGTGGACACAAGCAATGTGGGATAACAGAGGCCAGACAAGGATCTGAAGAAGAAGAAGAAGAAGAAGAAGAAGAAGAAGAGCAAGAGCAGTGGCAGAAGTAGAGGAAGAAGTAGTAGTAGCAGCAGAAGAAGAAGATGAAGATGAAGAACTACCAGCAGCAGCAGAAGAGGAAGATGGACTTGCATCTAGTTAACATCGACGATGAACTTTCCCCTATTCAGCCATATGGCTCTTCGTAATCTATACTGCCATTTGATAGTAGTTAGGATGAACCGTAATTTGTTTGGTAGCCAGGAGTAAACCTATTCAGATCGCGTATGGTAAGGTCACCACCGCTGAGAAGTGGTGACAACACCTTATGCAGGTTGTAATCAAACAACGAGTCATATGTGCGCTTAATGTGGTGCAGCCAACCAAACGGCGGGTCAACATTAGTTCCCTCATGCAGCTAACATATATACAGGTAATCAAGCTATGTGCAGATGGTGGTTTATAGTCTGTTTTTCTCAGTCAGGTCTATCTAAAAATCACATGCAATGTGCCAAAATCGATGCGGGCAACCAAACATGCCCTAGATATCTGGACTGGTCTGAACATTTTTGTTAGCCGTGTTGTGTGGCTGAAAATGCACGATGGTCTGATTTAAATATGTGCGGCCGACTAAAGTAAACTAATAAAAGGAGAAAAAAGAAAAGAAAAAAAGAAAAAAAGAAAAGGAGACAAAGAAAAGAAAGTCCAGACATTTTTGTCCGCGTTGGATCCTAAAAATGTCTAGACGGTTCGATTTTGCGGGCGGAAAAACTAAAAGGGGGAAAAGAAAAGAAAAGAAAACCCTCAAAGCCCTAGTACCTTCGTAGACGCAGGCAGTCAGCAGCCGACCAGAAGGCAGCAGACGCAGAGCAAATCCAAACAAGAACACCAGTAGTGCTGCATTCGCAGCGAGCGAGGAAGAGGAAGAGGGTAAGAGAGAGGGATGGCATGCCTGCACGATCACGAGTGTGGGGATCACAACTGCGCCGCCGATTGGTCGCTCTACAATCACATCGACATCCCCAAGGTTTCTTCCCAATCTCTCTCCGTCTCTCTCTGTAAATCAGAATCTTCGCTGTAGCCTACTGTATTACGAGTGCAAAATCTTCTATTACTACTGCAGAAATTCGAGAAACTGTGGCTCTGAATCTTCCCCGTTTTTTCCACAACCTGCAGGTGGTGGCTCTGAACGAATCTGTGGCCGGGAGCGTCAAATCGGTCTTCAAGTCGTGGGACCAGCGCCTCGAGACTTCCGTGGTATGTACCGAGATCCTTGAATTAGACATAACCCATCTTCTTATGAGTGTCAGTGCTTATTTTCTGCCAAATATGCCAGGAGTTAGACGTTTCTAGATAACCTGTCACTGATATAGAAAAGTTTCAGTATCGATTGCTGTGTCCCTATGTGGATTATACTCGTCTCCTTTGGTATTACATTAGAACGAATAGAAAATTAGCAGCTTTCTGTGCATCCAGTAGGTACTATTTGTCCTTATAAAACTATCACTGGGTACTTTTTTTTATCATGCCACTAATGTCATTACTGTCATGATTACTGAGGGCTACAATTTATTTTTCACAAGTACTAGTAAAGATGTCTATAAAGCATAATCCTAGCGCATAGTAGGAAAAGGGAAATTGCCAGGACGTCTGAAATATTAAACGGGAGAAACAGTAGGCCAGCAGGTTTGGTATGCATTATGCAGACATTTTGAGCTCTATGTTTTATTACCCTTTATCCTCCATGTTACGCAAAATTGCCATTCTTCTGCATGCGAATTTGGATATTACTTATGTTTGTTGTATCAGCTTATCAGTCTTGACCCTAAATCCTGTAAGGTACAATGAATCAAGATCAGAATACTGATGCTGTAGCTTACAGCGTTTATTCAGTGACAAGTGATATTTTCACTCATAACCCGTTACTTAAGTTTCTTTTCATACCTGTTACCTGCACTCTTATGAACATTCTTGCTGCACCAGGGTTTTCTGGAGAGCAATGAGGGTGACCCTGAGTTACTTGTTTTCATCCCGTAAGTAGCTTACATCACTTAATGATAATTGGATATATATCTGTGTCTTGGCTTCTTTCTTTTCCATCCCCTTCTGCTGTATAAACTTGTTATCTCCGCTGAGGAATTAACAGAAACGGTGGTAGCCCGGTTCGAAAAAAAGATATATGTGTGTGCCTGCCCCACTCGGTTTCTTAAATTAATTACATCATTGCTTCACTTGCCTTAAACCCACACAAGCTGAATATTTTATGCCTTCAAATGCAGAATTGACAGCTTTAGTGTCTAGGACACAGAATTTGTGGTGTTATAGTTATGGAAGGCATTAGGTGGATTCTTTTAGTTCGGTCATTTCATAATTTTTAAATATTAATCATTTGGTCATGAAGTTGTGCTTAATTTTTCTAGGCTAGTGCTTGTGGACGAAGGGGAGCCTTGGCGCAGCGGTAAAGCTGTTGCTTTGTGACCATGAGGTCACGGGTTCGAGTCCTGGAAACAGTCTCTTGCGGAAATGTAGGGAAAGGCTGCGTACAATAGACCCAAAGTGGTCGGACCCTTCCCCGGACCCTGCGCAAGCGGGAGCTACGTGCACTGGGCTGCCCTTTTTTTAGTGCTTGTGGACGTGCACTGATTAACTGTCACAAGTTGAACTATTTTATGCCTTCAAATGCAGAATCGACAGCTTTAGTGTCTACAGAAATTTGTTGTATGGAGAGTCAAGAAGTTCTCATCGAAACATCAAGAAATTGTGCTGTTACAGTTATGGAAGGCATTAGATGGATACTTTTAGTTCATTCATTTCATAATTTTAAAATTTGAATCATTTGGTTGTGCTTAATTGTTCTAGGGTAGTGCTTGTGGACGTGTATTGATTTATACATGTTGTCTTCTCTGATTATTATGTCTTTGTCACCTGGGGGCATTGTCACCCTTCTGGCTTCTGTCTGATCTGCCTTTGAGATCCGTGTAGCATCTTTTAGGTCTGTCATTGATTAGACCTCCATTTGTCTAATAGCACTGAGACGAGTTCATTAGTAGTAAGTAGTAACCAGATTAAACGATGATATTGTGTATACACATGGATCTATTTTTGAGGAATCTTTTTTGAGTTCATGGAGAACTTCTTTTAGGTAATAAAAGTCTTAATCACAAACCAATTTTTTTGTACTATTATAGAAAGTTAGTAAGTTATTGTATTTTTGACACTATTAGGGTATCTTTTTGGTCAAGTATTCATCATCTCACATTTTGATACCCCTAGTCTGACACATACTCTTCTAGAACCGTATTAGTGTGATCATTATCATGCTTCATTGATTGAATCCTGGCGAAGGAATGATGATAGCATTTGCACAAATCACGAGGCATGCATTGAACGGAGATAACATGGGGTGACACTGCCACCCAGAGGGGTGACATAGTCACCGGGTGTTAAAAAATCCACACTAATATATACATACATATATATATATAACTTTGTTTGCTGGTTTGGTGCCAAGCAATCATTCATTACAACTGATTTATGTGGAACACATTTGTGCACTTTTAGTCGTTTAGGCAAGTCCTTTTTTGCACACCCTTCCATAAATTATTTCAATTATCCTGAAGGAGTCAGAAGCAACATGGAGAAATAGAAAGAGGCCAAGAAGAAAGCAATCATTCATTACAACTGATTTCTGTGGAACACATTTGTGCACTTTTAGTCATTTAGGCAAGTCCTTAGCTGTGAGTGAAGCAAGGGGTCGGGGCCTATGATGAGCTTTGTTAGTGACTAGACACGGGAAGGAGAAAGGGGCATTTACAACATGGTGGAAGTCCGCCAGAGGAAGACAAGGGATCTCAACCAAGTTAAATGCATAAAGGACGAGGCAAAATGACTCCTAGTGGAAGATGAGGTCAAGAATAAAGGAGTCGTTCAAAGTCATACTAATTACCGAGGAATTAAGCTTATGAGTCATACTATGAAGCTTTATGAGAGGGTGATTGAGCATCGCTTGAGAAAAGAGACGAACGTCACAAAAAATTAATTTGGTTTGTGCCCGGGAGACCGACAATAGAGGTGATTTTCTTGCTACGTCAGCTTATTTAAAGATATAGGGAGCATAAGAAGGATGTACACATGGTTTTCATCGACTTGGAGAAGGCATATGACAAGATACCGAGGATGGTCATGTGGTGGTTGCTAGAGAAACATTAAGTCCCAACAAAGTACATTACCCTCATCAAGTATGTGTACGGTAAGTTGTGACAAATGTGCGAGCAGGTGATAGTGAGAACAACACCTCCCAATTGCCATAGGACTACATCAAGGGTCAGCCTTGAGCCCATACATCTGTTAGACCTTTCAACCTGAGCATTGATAGTTGTGGATGACACTAGGAGAGTTGGGACAATTTTCGTTGGTTTATTTCTCACACAATGCCATGCCAACCTGAGGGGTTGGGGATACATATTTATAGGCTGCTAGCCAGCCAAGGCATATGCTAAGATGCTGCTAAGATGCCAGTCTAAGATGCTAGTCTAAGATGCTAGTCTAAGATGCTAACTGACAGTCCTTGATGGTCAAGAACAGAACTCTATCCTAACAGCCAGTCCTTGATGGTCCAGGACTTTATCCTCCTAACTGCCACAAGGACCATGTGCTGCAGCCCCACAAGGGCCCTAGTACACAGACTTATCCATCATTCTCCCCCTAAGTCTTGTACGTCGTCTTGTGGGAGAGTTGAATCATCCCAATCCTGGAGCAAAGTTCGAGGAACTTGACCCTCCCAAGGGGCTTGGTGAGCAGGTCTGCGAGCTGATCCTTGGTGTTGATGTAGCTCGCCTCGATGCTCCCTTCTTCCACACAGCTGCGGATGAAGTGATACCTCAGTCGGATGTGCTTGCTCCGTTCGTGGAACACGGGGTTCTTTGCCAGGGCCAGGGCGGACTTGCTGTCCACCAGGAGCTGCACCGTTTTGGTGTCTTGAACGAGAAGATCACCAAGCAGTCGAGCAAGCCAGAGCGCCTGAGTGCAGGCGGTGGAGGCCGCTATGTACTCAGCCTCACAGCTGGACAGGGCCACCACCTGCTGCTTGACTGATTGCCAGCTCACGAGACACTTGCCGAGGAAGAGGAGGATCCCGCTCGTGCTCTTGCTGGTGTCGATGTCGCCGGCATGGTCGCTGTCGCTGTACCCGACGAAGTGTGCCGCCCCAGGACACCTAGGGTAGTGGAGGCCGTGGTCGAGGGTCCCTGCTATGTAGCGGACGATCCTCTTCACTGCCTGCTGGTGTTCCGACGTTGGTCGCTCCATGAACCGACTGACATAGCCGACGGAGAATGCCAAGTCCGGCCGTGTGTGAGTGAGGTAGCGAAGGCTCCCCACAAGGCGTCGGTACTGCGTAGCATCCACTTCCTCCGTCGTGCTGTCGCGGCTTAGTTTCAGCCTCTCCTCCATCGGAGTGAGAGCTGGATGGCAGTCGGTGAGCCCAGCTAGCTCAACGATGCGCTTGGCGTAGGCGGACTGTCGAAGCGCGATCCCGGAGTGGTCCTGGTGCACCTCAATCCCTAGATAGAAGGAGAGGAGCCCCAGGTCACTCATCTGGAACGTGGCCTTCATGTCTTCCTTGAACGCCGCCACCTCTGCATCTTTGGTGCCGGTGATCACCAGGTCGTCAACGTAGACGCCCACCAACAGGGCATTTCCTCCACTCCCCCGTCGGTAGACGGCAGCCTCATGCGGGCTCTGCTCGAAACCCATCTTCTTCAGCGTGGAGTCCAGCTTGGCGTTCCACGCCCTGGGTGCCTGCCGCAGGCCATAGAGAGCCTTGCGCAGGCGGAGCACCTTGCCCTCCTGGCCGGGAATCGTAAACCCCGGTGGCTGATGCACGTAGACTTCCTCCTTCAAGTCGCCGTTGAGGAATGCCGACTTAACGTCCATGTGGTGGACACGCCAGCCCTCCTGGGCAGCCAGCGCAAGGAGAAGTCGCACGGACTCCATCCGTGCCACGGGAGCGAAAGCGTCGTCGAAGTCGACTCCTTCCTGCTGCAAGAAGCCTCGGGCCACCAAACGAGCCTTGTGCTTGATGATGGCGCCGGCTCCATCCCTCTTCAGCTTGAACACCCACTTAAGGGTGATTGGGCGGTGACCTCGAGGGAGATCAGCAAGCTCCCAGGTGCGGTTTTGCTCGACCGCATCCATCTCCAACTTCATCGCGGCGCGCCATGCCGCGTCTCTCTCGGCCTCTGCAAAGGACCGTGGTTCGCCGTCTTCACACACGAGCTGTAGCTGCGCCTCCAGGTCACGTGGCACCAGTCCTGGCACCGGCTGGTCGCCGAGCACATTATCCATCGTACGGTACCGCAGTGGTTCGCCTCCATACCATGCGTCGACCCGCTCCTCGTCGTGAGTGAGCGGGGAAGCGAACTTCATCGGGTTGTGCTCTGCGTGAGCTGGTGCTGATGAAGACGAGCCCGGAGTGGCGACCGCCGGGGCTGGAGTATGCGGCGTCGCCGGTTGTGGTGTCGTCGGTGTAGCAGGCGCCGGAGTCGATGTAGTTTTGGGGGCCGGGGTAGACGTGCCCGGTGAAGAGGAGCTGCTTGCTCCCCCAGCTTCCTTGAAGTGAGCGTACTCGACAATGAAGTCGTCATACGTCGGCGTCGAGCCGTCGTCCACCGCCTTGTCCCATTGCCACCCTCGCCCTTCGTTGAACACGACGTCTCGCGCTGTGCGCACACGTTGTGTCTTTGGGTCGAGGATGCGGTAGGCCTTTGAGCCCTCCGCGTAGCCGATGAAGACTCCCGGAGTGCTCCTGTCGTCGAGCTTGCCGATGTGGCCGAGCTCCTTGGCGAACGCAAGGCAGCCAAAGACCCGCAAATGAGAGACCGCCGGCTTCCGCCCATGCCAGGCCTCGTATGGAGTTCTGCCGTCGAGTGCCTTAGTAGGAGAGCGGTTGAGGATGTAGACGGCCGTTAGCACCGCCTCTCCCCAGAAAACAGCCGGCATCCCTCTCTGCTTGAGGAGAGCCCGAGCCATCCCC